ACACCAAATTTACGTCACTTCTTTCTTACCCCAACAGCTTTCTACCACATAAAAACCATAACTGTAGCATGTTTAGAACAGGAAATACAAAGCCCGGAAAGTCGGCTGTAGTATCAAGAAAGTGCCGCTAGGAAGCGCCAAAAGTCAAATCAAGTGGCCCGCGTACTTTTTCAAAAGAGTAATGTCTCATGAGTATTTGTACCAAGTTTGGTACTTGTATCACAATTTGAAAGATTCCTCCAAAATCTGATGTTATCTGCTCCACTATTTTAGCTCCATTATTATACGCTTCTGTCAAACAAGAAATTTAGCCAGGATTGACAACACTTGGAATGATGCACAACTTGAAGTCAAAACACGTAAGTTTGATCTTTCAAAAAGGCTCTTGTTAACAATTGAATAAATTGAACCAATTGAGGACCATTACAGGTCAAGTAATATTTAAGAAGTCCGAAAGTCTAAGCCTTTAATATTCATTTCTCGATGAATGTATACGTAATGCAAGCTAGAACGTAAGTAGTGCTTGTCGATTTTACGCTTACAATTTGTTACAGAAAAATGTTCTTTTTTTTACTTTCTTCATATTTGTGTTTTCAAAACGTTGAATTTGATACAAATCGTATGTATGATCCTCTTGAACTGCACTTGTTTTCCAAAACAATTATTGACAAACGTTGTCTGTGTCTAAATTTGTGGACCTTTTAGCAACTCAGTTTTCCCATCTTCGTACCGAATCTGAGTACAATTTTGATTGGGGCATAACAAAACCAAATCTTGGAGAAGGTGGGAAAATTCCTCACTGGCCAATTTTAGCATCAGGGACCGGTTCATAGCTGTTTGTCTCTGGGTACTCTGTGGTGTTGTTTATTGCTTCCCTACACTCATTCTGGCAGTATGTACGTAGCTGCCGGGGACCGTAGTACGCTCGCGCGGGGCAGCAGGGTCGTAGCTACAGGCCATAGGAGACGCTACGGAGTTACAGACCGTCGCAATAGTGTCATGGTGGCCATAAGTATTAAACAGGGTACGGTCTGGGTCAGTGACAGGGGAGTTGTAGCAGTGTGTCTTACGGAAACGCTTAGCGGCGCTGGCATTCTCCTGGTAGGCAGAGGACAGGGTGGAACCTGGGTTGAGGAGGATAGATGGGTGCTGGTAGCAGGTTTTTACGGACTTATCGCCAGCGTTTTCCTTACAGCCATATGTGTTAGACAAGGTACGCTCTGGGTTAGCGGCAGGGGAGTTGTAGCAGTGTGTCTTACGGAAACGCTTAGCGGCGCTGGCATTCTGCTGATAGGCAGAGGACGGGGTGGAACCTGGGTTGAGGAGGATAGATGGGTGCTGGTAGCAGGTTTTGTCTGACCTATCACCGCCGTTTTTACCATAACCATATGTCGACGTCTTAGTCAGGGTACGCTCTCCGTCAGTGGCAGGGGAGTTGTAGCAACGTGCCTTGCGGGAACGTTTAGCGACGCTGGCATTCTGCTGGTAGGCAGAGGACTGAGTGGTACCCAGGTTAGGGAGAATGGATGGGTGCTGGTAGCAGGTTTTGCCTCTCTTATCGCTGCCGTTTTGACCATAGCCAGGCACGACGGCCCCTTCCCTGTTTGGTGTCTGACGGGGACGCTCGGCGCTGTACGGGCGGGACGGCACGGGGTGTGTCTGCGCGCGGGGGCGGCCTGGGTACGCTGCGCAAAGCTTTGCCTGTCCGTACGGGACGGCTTCTGACTGAGAAGAACCGGCCCTGCGCAAGTCAGGGTGGTCTTCAAAACCACCTTCAGCGTAAGGACTGATGACTGATTCTGACTCATTCAAGCTGTCGTGATCCTCGAAACGACCTTCAGCGTACGGACTGATCACCGGCTCATCCAAGTTGCCAACTGGCCACTTAGAACAAGGACCATCGCCATTGCGGGGTGAACCTGTGCCGTTATCTGGAGCTTTGCGCCCGAGCCTGCGCTTGATACACCTGACACAGAACAAAACCCCGGGACCAACCGCAACAGCCGGTAACCAGATAATAGATGACAACACTATGTTCCATGTGCAGATGCCCCCTTCATAAGCATCAGTTTTACTGATGGTCAGTGGTGTTGTGTCGATGCCTGTGGGCACCGGCAGTGTGCTTGTGGTGGTTGAGAATGGTGTGGTGTAGATGAGTGAGGGTTCTGTAGGCTGGGGTGTCGTGACGCCAGAGTGTGTGCCTTCACTTGTCATGAAAACAACAGTGTCGGACCCAGTTTCCGAAGAAGCCGTGCAAGTGGTGTTCCCAAAGGACAAGGGCCCGGTAGTCTCAAGCCAAAGGGTGAAGCTGGACCTCCCCATGTAGTTAGAACACAGGCTGTGATTTCCTGATTCCCCCATCAGGTTATCTGCTGGACCCTTACATTTCACCCAGCCCTCAGCCTTTAGGTCGGTCACCACCCTCACGGTTAGGTTGCCTGTCGGCAGAGTAGCGTGTGTTGTCGTGTATGTGTCGTATGTTATGTCGTGTGTGTGTTGTGAGTCGTTAGGGAAGGTCCAAGACACCTGGGGCAACTGCTCCCAATACACCCTACCCACGACCGTGTACCTGTATGCAGGGTCGTGTTCGGCCTTCAGGATCTCCACCATTGGTGGGTGGCAGGGCAGGGCGTGACTGGGAGAGACTGGCGCGGGGAGGTTCCGCATCAGCGCCGAGGCGGGGCAGCTGTGGGTTCCCGGGGGCAAATTTAGTAAACGCATGAAGCGCTGCTTGAACTTTGGGTAGCCCCCCTCGTAGTCGTAAAGCCAATCATTCGCACACGTACAGCGTGGCCAGTTGGACATGTGGATTCCCCCTGATAATGGCAACGCCCTGCCTTCCGACACAATGGCGGCAATGCCGTTATCACGGGCAATAAAATCGCATGGAAAGGACAATTTGAACCACCCGCCAGAAAGGAAGGTCAGCCTGTTTGATGCAAGGTTTATGGCATACAATTCGGTGTTTGAGTGGAACGCGCCGACAGCAATGTGGGAGATTCTGTTACCCTTCAGGTTCAGGACCTTCAGCCGCTCAAGCCCGTAGAACATCCCCACGCCGATCGACCGAAGTTTGTTCTGCACAGCGTGGACACGTGCTACGGACTTGATCGTCTGCAAGGTCCCCGGGGCTACGTTAGCGATAAGATTGGCACTTACGTCAACCCACCGCGGCTGCAACCCCCGGAAAGCGTCAGGCGACATGGTCAGGATTTGGTTGTCCACAAGGATGATGTGTGACAAGCTGGGCAACCCATCAAGGCAGCCACCCTGCAGCAGAACGATTTGTGATACAGTTTCAAAACCATAAATCGGTGTGCCATCATTTTAGCTTCAGTACGTTTTATTTGACTACGTAGCTTTTTTGCAAAAAAAAAGACTGGATTTGCACATATTCTATTCGTCTGGTGATGACCTCACGTAAATTACAACTTACTGTTAGGCGCTGACCGGGGTGCATCTAACCTTAAATGGAACGCACACATAAACTTGATGGTAAGCAAAGGGAGCCACAGACTGTACTTGTTGAGAGTACTTAAGAGACATGGTTTGGACAGTACAGATCTAACACTGGTCTTCTGTGGCTTCATACGGCCAATATTAGAATATGCATGCCCTGTCTGGTACCCTGGCATCACTCATGCCCAATCTAGGATGATAGAAAGTGTACAAAAGAGCGCTTGTCGCATAATTCTTGGTCAAAACTTTGTTAGCTACATTACAGCATTAACTCGTATCTCTTAGCAAGAGACGACATGAGCTATGTCACAAGTTTGCTACTTCACTGCTGAGGTCTACAACTTTTTCGACATGGCTACCCCCCAACCGTGAAAGCCTGCATGGCAGGAAACGTAGATCAAAATATAATGTAACACAATTCAAATGTAGAACTGAGAGGTATCGCAAAACTACACTGCCTTTCCTGGTTGATCTACTTAATGAGACATGACACGTACAGGTGTTGCCCATCTACTATTACCTGCTAGATTGTTGTATTTATATGTTTTAACAATTTAATGAAATGGTTTTGACATGTGTATATGTGCAGGCCTAACGAAAGCATTTTAAGTTAAGTTATATTGATTAGTATTAATAGTATAAATCAAGTGTAGATATTCTCCCTTTGTAATGCCTTCAGCTAAAAAGCTGCCATTGTATGGTTGTTTTGAGTCGCCACAATAAACCATTGATTGATTGTTGATTGGATGTTCAACTTTGTTTCTAAGATTTGATAGAATATGTGCGGGTTTAGTCAGAGAAACTAAACCTAAAAAGTCTGAAATCAGGCTGTCAAAAACAATTTCAAGTACATGAAGCTATTTTGAACCTAAGCATATATTTATAAAACGCATGTTTTGTTTCATCCCACCTCCAGATGTGTCAGGTTGTTCTCCAACAGCAGCAGATACTTGAGGCCCTCCATCCCAGCAAACGTGCCGTTCTTCAGAGTCTGGACATTGCTCCGCCAGATGACCAGGTTAGACACCTGTGGCAACTTAGCAAACGCCCCTACCTCTATTGTCGTTAGGTTACATCCCACAAACCACAACCTGCAATCTTCACCACATGGGATCTGAGACAGGATCTCTGCTTTGTCAGGGCCAAGCTTACCGACGTTGTTATCAACGATCATGATGTCGGTTATGGATTGTGGAGGAGAACCCCCCTTGGTAGGCCTTGTTTCGTTTGAGCAGACCTGGCAAGATTGGAAAGCCTGGCCCAAAGGGACGGTATCAAAGGGACCACCGTAGCTGTAAAACTCAAACGGGTCTTTGTTCCACTTGTACCGGTACGGTCTAATGTCATACCGGTACTCACGACCATCACTACCACTGTCACCTACACCACACTTTGCCACGGGCACTTGACGGCAGCTCTGCCAGCTACCGGCGTCCGCCCGCGGCACTAGTAGCTGCGTAAGCAGCAACAACGAGACTTTTACCATAAGCTTCATCGCTAAGATCATTAATACACCATGTTATTGATAGCAAAGAGCTTCAACAGAAGGTTATATTTATCGTACGATCTTACAAAGTGTTTGCCCCCACCTGTAGGATGACCTGGACAGCGCAGGACGCAGCTCTGTTCTCTGTAGTGGCGCCGGAGCGCTCTAACCCCACCTGGCAGCTTGTCACAGGCGTTGATTGATTAAGTCTTCGTTATGTTGAGTGGTTCAGCCAAGGACAGCCGTTGGCCAACCAGCATCCTCGTAACGACGACGCCGCGAAAGAGCAAAAGCATTCCCAGGAAAGAAATATTCACATACAGCATTCTTTACCACATACAGCTCAACAGTCTTAGGAGTAACAGAAGCATTTCCAGGAAAAAAGCCACAGGCGGCATGCTTTACCACGTATTAGTCTACATGCAGCAAAACACAAAATATGTGGCGTAGTGGCAGCGTGCTCGACTTGGAACCAAGAGGTCCCGGGTTCAAGTCCTGACATGCCTCCTATCTTTTACCCTTGGGAAAGGCACTTTACACGGCTTTCCTCACTTAAATCGTGTAAAAATGTGAGTATTGTCTTGTCTTGTATTCGTCTTCAGCGTTGGTGGCAGCATAAAATAAATGATATAACTTGAGTGTGCTGTCACCATGTCTAGTCATGAAAAGCTGGAACAATAAAAAAACACAAAATATAAACCAGACACGATTGCAACAGTTATGCGCGTATAAAAGGGTAAACATTGAAGCATAATGCAGTTCCCAAATTTAACCTTGTTTTTATCAAATAAAATCTAGAACAATTTATTAAAACTGCATTAGGCACCATTTGCTTTTATAGGGGAAGAGAATCTGTTGGAGTCTATCATTAACTTACTTGAAAAGAGAATCATGAGAAAACCGGAGTTTAAAGATCTAAGACTTATAGGCTTTCGTGTGTTTCGCATACTTCATTCTAGTTTATTAATTCTTCAAATAAGGTTTTAACATTACATGTGGCCACTCATAACTCCTTGACACGTGATCGTGATCAGCATATAGTGGGGCAGATAACTGAAATAATCTTCCAAATTGTGATACAAGCACCAAACTTGGTACAAATACTCATGAGACATTACTCTTTTGAAAAAGTACGCGGGCCACTTGATTTGACTTTTGGCGGCGCTTTTTAGCGGCGCTTTTTGGTACTACAGCCGACCTTCTGGGCTTTGCATCTCCTGTTCTAAACATGCTACAGTCATGATTTTTATGTGGTAGATAGCTGTTAAAGTAAGAAAGAAGTGACGTAAATTTGGTGTCTCTAGCTGCAAAAATTTGCTCCAAGGGCGCTTTTTGGTACTGCAGCCGACCTTCCGAAGCAAAAAAGCGCCCTTGAAGCAAATTGTGCACCGGCAAAAACGCCCCTGCACTTTTAACGCAAGCAGCTAGAGACACCAAATTTACGTCACGTCTTTCTTACTTCAACAGCTTTTTACCACATAAAATCATGACTGTAGCATGTTTAGAACAGGAGATACAAAGCCTAGAAGGTCGGCTGCAGTACCAAAAAGCGCCGCTAGTTTGGTGCTTGTATCACAATTTTAAAGATTCCTCCAAAATTTGATGTTATCTGCTCCACTAATAGAGAAAGACTATAATCGCGAAAACACAGACTAAAATAAAACCTCTCCGTAAAGAAGTAGCTTATTTTACTAACCCCATATCTCAAATGTTAACCAATTTGACAGTTGATACATAACTAATTTATATTGTGCCCGGGTGTTAACAAGCCTTAGAGGAACTTGTTTGTTGTAAGGTTGCAGGTGACGAAGCCATTGACGGTATTGTTAAGTTTGTATGTATTATATTGAAGTTCTGATATTTGTTGTGGACATTACAACCACTGGTTACTATGGTAACCCAATGGGGTTTCCCAAAAACACAAATAAAATCAACCAGACTTTAACAAAAAGTATGTATGATGGAATATCAAATTAAAGTAATACCTCCGGTAAGACTTATGTTGCCCCTATAGTGGAGCAGATAACATCAAATTTTGGCGGAATCTTTCAAATTGTGATACAAGCACCAAACTTGGTACAAATACTCATGAGACATTACTCTTTTGAAAAAGTACGCGGGCCACTTGATTTGACTTTTGGCGCCCCCTAGCGGCGCTTTTTGGTACTGCAGCCGACCTTCCGGGCTCTGTATCTCCTGTTCTAAACATGCTACAGTCATGATTTTTATGTGGTAGAAAGCTGTTAAAGTAAAGAAGAAGTGACGTAAATTTGGTGTCTCTATCTGCTTGAAACTGCAGGGGCGTTTTTTTGGTGTCTCTATCTGCTTGGAACTGCAGGGGCGTTTTTTTGCTGGTGCAAAAATTTGCTCCAAGGGCGCTTTTTGGTACTGCAGCCGACCTTCCGAAGCAAAAAAAGCGCCCCTGGAGCAAATTTTTGCACCGGCAAAAAACGCCTCTGCAGGTCCAACGCAAGCAGCTAGAGACACGTTTTGTGTGGAAAATACGTAGCCTGGGTGCCAGCCCCTACCGCGAGTGAGAGATAACCCTTCGGCCAGGAAAGTCACACGCCCCGCCGACCTCGATTTGCGCCCTGCCTCTAATTATCTCCTCGCGTCGTGAAAGATAAAGGTTTGGGGCAGCCTGGGTTGGGAGGTGGATACAGTAGCGGACATTAGGGCTTCTTTCCACAAAATCTATCGCTTATGAACGCCAGCGTCTGGCACCCAGGCTAGAAATTACGAAGTTACAAAGTTTTTTTTTAAACAACGTTGTTATACCAGAGCTAATGAAATGGTCCACCTCTCGTCGGTGCTATGCCTCTCTGATGGCTGACTCTAGGTCACCTTTGCTCTGCTAGAGCTGCGCAAAAATGAGGGGAGCGGACGGGGAGGCCGGGGAATCCTGCTTGTCCCATAGCCGACCTTGTGGGACGACAGAGGGTCACCGCAGCCGGCACATCGGCGCACTTTCTTCGTGGAGCGCGGCATAAGGAAGCCGAAGAAAGACTGGATAACTGTTGACTGACCGAGAGAGGTCTGGAGACAGACAAGTCGTTATGTGACCTGCCCCTGGCCGTGTGGAGTCAGGCTGATGCCAGGCGGTCCCCGGCGTCCCAAAGATCCACATGGACTACCGTACTGTCATGCCTTTAAATATCTGAAATCATAGTGTAATTTTCCCTGCACACATGTAAGGAACAGTCAGCAAACAGTTTGATTTCTACCTCAAAACCGCTTGTAAAACGCATTTTCTGCGCGACGATGGTATAACCGCCCTTTGGTGTAACACACCAGCTTCTGTATCTGTATAGCCAGTATAACCGCCCTTCGGCGTAACACACCAGCTTCTGTATCTGTATAGCCAGTATAACCGCCCTTCGGCGTAACACACCAGCTTCTGTATCTGTATAGCCGGTATAACCGCCCTTTGGTGTAACACACCAGCTTCTGTATCT